AAGGTCATCGTCTTATATTTTGAGGGTAAATAAGAGTGCCTAACTTGACCTTCTCAAGATCTTTCAATATTTTGTATACCTTTAACATCATCTCTTATTCATCTCGTCTTCAAGCTAAACAGTTCCAATCTGTTCAGTGTCTCATAAGGAAGTCTTTCCATGCCTCTAATAATTTTGGTCACCAATCCTAACTGAGGCATTTCAGTACTACTAAAAAAATACAAATATTTAATAATAGGTATAAGTTGGCCAATAATTTCATGTGTTGTGTGTTTTCAAATAGACATTTCATTCTAAATTTTTGATGTCCACACAGTGCATAATTAATACATAAGCAGTAATAAGGAAATGCAAAATTTAATGTGCCTACAACATTAACGCTGCCACTCGGGTTCTTGTTTTCATAGTTGAATGTGTAACGTGATGATTTTTATGTTAGGTGTATATCACAAAATGTTCAGCAGGCATAATGTGGACAAATAGCACTGCTGTAAGAGCCATAACTCCTGCATTATTATTTTAAATGTGCAAATTTAATGATGCATGAACTGAGTCTCCTCCATGTGGAAGTGTGTTACGCTCAGTCCCTTCTATCAGTTGAAGCCCCTGTGTTTCTCTACCACGTAACAACACACAAAGATAGACATGAACCCTTTTTAGCTATTTCTGGAATTTTACCCCTTCTTCTGAACAGCAGGCGAGACCAATGTGTGAAACTTAAAGGCCAAATAAACTACCATAACAAGCTAGCTACTAAAAAGCATATCATATAGTATTAAAATAAGTCACTAATAGCATAGTATTATAATAATTACATATTTTCTGAGTAAGCCAGGCCTAATAGGTGTGGCACCCTGTCCCCCCCATAGAGGTGGGTAGGTCAAGTAGACGTTGATTGTGCTCGTTACAGCCTTGGCTAAGAGAGCTGGGTGTTTTAGATCAGGCAGCAGAGCCTCATGCATTAAGATCTAGAGTCCCAAATTCAATCCTTGATGCTGCTGACCCACCCAGAGGCATCAGCATTACAGCTGTATAAGTGTATGTTTATATATGTGTAAATAAGTATAATAATTGTAAACGTGCATATGCATTTAATTGATAGACCCTGGAGCTGCTATATGGTATGAGAGGTCATCTTCCATACACTTCCATGAAATATGTCTTCAACACTTACTTATTTGGCTTAAGAGATTTAACATTTGAAACCAAAATAAGACACCATTCTTGATCGATTGTATTGCGGTAGTGCCCAAAGGGCCCAGTTGTGCTAAATCCTATACAAGTGAATAGGACTGGATCATAATGCAAGGCACTTCTTTCCACCAGGTGCTGAGCATACTTGTCTCTACAGTGCTCTTAGGCCCTGCTGCCTAGGAGCGCAATCCGTCCCTGTTCCACGCTGCTACTAGATAAATTGGTGCTAGCTGTGATAACTCAGCATAGGTTTTGTATTATATGTACAGGTGAAAAATGGGCAGATTCTCAGTAGATGTATCATGTGAATGTTGAAAATGCAGGTGTCAAAACATGGAATTTGCTCAAACCCCTCAAGTAAAATAAACTCTGCCCTCAGAACAGAAATATTTAACAAATTGTAAGGTGCCCTCAAGAATTTATGTTGGTCAGACGAGAAATAAGACTGATCTATGACATGTACTTTTTACATGAGAAACAAAGGCTGCTTTATTGCGGTATTTCACTAGGGCTGGCTACAGCCTCTCTTCTCAGGGACTTTAAATTGGATGGAAAATCTGTAGACATCTGAGACTGCCAGGTGTTCCTGCACCTGCTGGTGAGGGGCTGGGGGAATAAAAGTAAAAGGGTCTTGTTAAAGAACTGGGCCCAAGAGCCTGCGAAGACTTACATGCATGCTATGTGTATGCACTGTGAGTAGTCCTAATGGTATCAATGAAGTCTGGGTGTTGAAGTACATGTGTAAGTCTTTACAGGATCAGGGCCTTGGCTTGTACAAACTACTGAAAACAGCATAATTAAAGGGAAACATACACAGCACAGGTCATTATTGTACAATGTACACCATCAAAGCAGCATTTGTTTTGTAATGGGTAGCATTACAAACCTATCAGTCAAGAGGTCATGTAGCATTTACAGACAACACAGAACAAATTTTACTTTGAAATATTGCAAAGAGACTAAAATGAACATTTTGCAAATTCATGATGGGTTTGTTTTATTTCTAGACGTCTGTGGATATTTATAGCTGTTATCCAAATGGTTCTGTTTATTGTAGGGTTCCTCATGAGTGTGAGGCTGTTGGCACTGGTAGGTTGAAATGTAAACCTACCAGTTCTGACACTGTCCTTTTGTAATTAAACAAAACAAAAAGGGTTTGCAGTGTGGCAAATATAAAGGATACATAATTTTGTCACAATGTAACTCTCAGGATGAACAGGTGCATTCTTTACCTGTCGGGAGTCAAATCTTTCTCCTTCTTTTTCTTCCCACTTTTCTTCCCTTTTTTCTTTTTCTAAGGACCATAAATGTAGACAGTAATTAATGACATAAGTAGTTGGGATGTAGAGCTGAATGCTATTGGAACTGATACGAAGGCCAAAACTTGCCGATCCAACTTTAATAAACCTAAATATGTCAGTATTTGTATTTTCCACTATCTATGTACTTTTATGTGGTCCTCACCAATATAGTATCTGAGGAATAGATTGTATCCTTGCAGCACTCTGTGAGATAGGGAAGTACTATTTCCATTTACAGATGAGAACCTGAAGCACAAAGGAGACCAAGGGTATGTCTACACTACGAAATTAGGTCGAATTTATAGAAGTTGATTTTTTAGAAAGCTATTTTCTACAATCGATTGTGTGTGTCCCCACATTAATGCACTAAGCGCATTAAGTCGGTGGAGTGCATCCACAGTACCCAGGCTAGCGTCGACTTTTGGAGCGTTGCACTGTGGATAGCTATCCCACAGTTCCTGCAGTCTCCGCCGCCCATTGGAATTCTAGGTTAAGCTCCCAATGCCTGATGGGGCAAAAATATTGTCGCGGGTGGTTTTGGGTACATGTAGTCAGTCACCCCTCCTTCCGTGAAAGCAATGGCAGACAATCATTTCGCGCCTTTTTTCCGTGCGGGCGCCATACTGCTTTCAGCAGATAGTGCAGTAGGACTGATATCTGTCGTCGTCATCCACCACTTCCACTGTCACTCTGCTCTCTTGCTCTCCTGATGCTATGAATGCACCTCGCAGGTCCTCTATATGACTGTTGTCATCCACCGCTTCTGCTGGCACTCTGCTCTCCTGCTCGCCTGGTGGTCTCACAGGGCCACTTCTGCTGTAACTCTGCTGGGCTGCTCTTGTCTCACCATACCACAGCAAGCATGCAGCCCGCTCAGCTGTTGTGCCCTGGCAGCAGACGGTGCAGTAGGTCTGCAAAACTGGTCATCCAACCACCGCTTCCCCTGCAACTCTGCCCTCCTGCAGATGCCATACCACGGCAAGCATGGAGCCTGCTCAGATCACCGCAGCAGTTATGAGCATTGTAAACACCTCGCGCATTATCATGCGGTATATGCAGAACCAGAACCTGCAAAAGCAGGCGAGGAGGCGGTGGCAGCGCGGTGACAAGAGTGATGAGGACAGGGACACAGACTTCTCTCAAAGCTTGGGCCCCGGCAATTTGGCCATCCTGGTGGCAATGGGGCAGGCTCATGCAGTGGAACGCTGATTCTGGGCCCGGGAAACAAGCACAGACTGGTGGGACTGCATACGTCTGGGATGATTCCCAGTGGCTGCAAAACTTTCGTATGCGTAAGGGCACTTTCATGGAACTTTGTGACTTGCTTTCCCCTGCCCTGAAGCACAAGAATACCAAGATGACAGCAGCCCTCACAGTTCAAAAGTGAGAGGTGATAGCCCTCTGGAAGCTTGCAATGCCAGACAGCTACCCCGTCAATCGGGAATCAATTTGGAGTGGGCAAATCTACTGTGGGGGCTGCTGTGATCCAAGTAGCCAATGCAATCACTGAGCTGCTGCTATCATGGGTAGTGACTCTGGGAAATGTGTAGGTCATACTAGATGGCTTTGCTGCAATGGGATTCCCTAATTGTGGTGGGGCAATAGACGGAACGCATATCCCTATCTTGAGACTGGAGCACCAAGGCAGAGAGTACATAAACTGAAAGGGGTACTTTTCAATGGTGCTGCAAGCACTGGTGGATCACAAGGGACGTTTCACCAACATCAACGTGGGATGGCCGGGAAAGGTACATGATGCTCGCATCTTCAGGAACTCTGATCTGTGGGAGCGGCTGCAGCAAGGGACTTACTTTCCAGACCAGAAAATAACCACTGGGGATGTTGAAAAGCCTATAGTTATCCTTGGGGACCCAGCCTACCCCTTAATGCCATGGCTCATGAAGCCATACACAGGTACCCTGGACAGTAGTCAGGAGCTGTTCAACTACAGGCTGAGCAAGTGCAGAATGGTGGTAGAATGTGCATTTGGACGATTAAAGGCACGCTGGCGCAGTTTACTGACTCGGTTAGACCTCAATGAAACCAATATTCCCAATGTTATTACTGCTCGCTGTGTGCTCCACAATATCTGTGAGAGTAAGGGGGAGACATTTATGGTGGGGTGGGAAGCTGAGGCAAATCACCTGGCCGCTGATTACGCACAGCCAGACACCAGGGTGGTTAGAAGAGCACAGCAGGGTGCGCTGCTTATCAGAGAAGCTTTGAAAACCAGTTTCATGGCTGACCAGGCTACGGTGTGACAGTTCTGTTTGTTTCTCCTTGATGAAAACCCGCCCCCTTGGTTCACTCAACTTCCCTGTAAGCCAGCTGCCCTCCCTTCCCTGCTTTGATCACTGCTTGCAGAGACAATAAAGTCATTGTTGTTTCAAATTCATGCATTCTTTATTAATCTGTCACACAAATGCGGGGATAACTGCCAAGGTAGCCTGGGAGGGGTAGGGGAGGAGCAAAGCACCGGGTGGGGTGGGGGAGGAGAGGAGGAGGGAAGGACAAGGCCACACTGCACTTCAAAACTTATTGAATGCCAGCCTTCTGTTCCTTGGGCAGTCCTCTGGGGTGGAGTGGTTGGGTGCCCAGAGGCTCCCCCCGCCCCTGCATTCTTGGGTGTCTGGGTGAGGAGGCTATGGGACTTGGGGAGGTTACACAGGGGCTGCAGTGGCGGTCTGTGCTCCTGCTGCCTTTCCTGCACCTCAAGCACACGCTGGAGCATATCAGTTTGATCCTCCAGTAGCCTCAGCATTGCATCCTGCCTCCTTTCATCACACTGCCACCACCATTCCTCTTGATCCCGCCACCTCTCCTGTTGCTCCAGCCATCTATCCTCTCGCGCATCCCTCCTGTCCTCTCATTCATTTTGTGCTTTCCTGGACTCTGCCATTGTCTGCCTCCATGCATTCTGCTGGGCTCTTTCAATCTGGGTGGACTGCATGAGCTCAGAGAACATTTCATTGTGAGTGCGTTTTTTTCGCCTTCTTATCTGCGCTAGCCTCTGGGACGGAGATGCTAGTTGCAGCGTTGAAACATTTGCAGCTGTGGGAGGAAAAAAAGGGAGATTAAAATTGAAAAAGACACATTGGCCATTTAAAAAGAGGGGCTGATGTTTTTGGGTTAACGTGCAGCACAAACCCAACAAACCCCCCCCACCCAATTCTCTGGGATGATCGCTTCACCCCTCCCCCCACCACGTGGCTAACAGTGGGGATGATTTCTTTTCAGCCACAGGCAAATAGCCCAGCAGGTATGGCCACCTCTGATGTCCCCTTAATAAAATTCCCCTATTTCAACCAGGTGACCATGAATGATATCACTCTCCTGAGGATAACACAGAGCGATAAAGAATGGATGTTGCTTGAATGCCAGCAAACACTGGGACCACACGCTGCCATGCTTTCTTATGCAATGATTCCAGACTACATGCTACTGGCCTGACGTGGTAAAGTGGCCTACCATGGAGGACACAATAAGGCTGCCCTCCCCAGAAACCTTTTGTAAAGGCTTTGGGAGTACCTCCAGGACAGCTTCACTGAGATGTCCCTGGAGGATTTCCACCCCATCCCCAGACACATTAACAGACTTTTCCAGTAGCTGTACTGTCTGCGAATGCATCCCAAGTCTTCCGGGCAAATTAATAATTAAACATACTTGCTTTTAAACGGTGTATTATATTTACAAAAGTACACTCACCAGAGGTGCCTTCTCTGCCTTCAAGGTCCGGGAGCCCAGGTTGGGAGGGTATTGGATCCAGGGTGATAAACAGTTCCTGGCTGTTGGGGAGAATGGTTTCTCCACTTGCCTGGTGTGCGCTCTCTTCAACCTCCCCCTCCTCATCATTTTCCTCGTCCCCCAAATCCTCATCCCTGTTGCGTGAGACTCCCTTGCAGGAGTCCACATACAGTTGTGGGGTAGTTGTAGGGGCACCCCCTAGAATTGCATGCAGCTCATCATAGAAGCGGCACATCTGGGGCTCTGACCCCGAGCGGGAGTTTGCCTCTTGGGTTTTTTGGTAGGCTTGCCTGAGCTCCTTAAGTTTCATGTGGCACTGCTGCGGGTCCCTGTGATAGCCTCTGTCCTTCATGCCCTTGGAGATTTTTTCAAATATTTTGGCATTTTGTCTTTTGGAATGGAGTTCTGATAGCATGGATTCATCTCCCCATACAGCGATCAAATCCAGTACCTCCCATTCGGTCCATGCTGGAGCTCTTTTGCGATTCCATGGTCATCTCTGCTGATGAGCTCTGCATGGTCACGCCATGGTGGCCAAACAGGAAATGAAATTCAAAACTTTGCGGGGCTTTTCCTGTGTATCTGGCCAGTGCATCTGAGTTTAGAGTCCTGCCCAGAGCGGTCACAATGGAGCACTGTGGGATGGCTCCCAGAGGCCAATACCGTTGAATTGCGTCCACACTAACCCAAATTTGACCCTGTGATGTCTATTTCTGCGCTAATCCCCTCATCAGGGAGGAGTACAGAAATCAATTTTAAGAGCCCATTAAGTCGACAAAAATGGCTTTGTTGTATGGATGGGTGCAGGGTTAAATCAATCTGATGCTGCTAAATTCGACCTAAACTCGTAGTGTAGACCAGGGCTAAGTGACTTGCCTAAGGTCCCATAGGATGGCTGTGGTTGAGCCAGGAATTGAATCCAAGTCTCCTGAGTCCCAGACTAGTGCCCTAACCAGTAAACTCCTTCCTGCCTCCTCTTTGTAATGCCTCAGGGAAGAAGTAGCATGAGGTCAGGATAACTAGAGCAGGTCTTCTCTTGGGATTTTCTCCACAGTAACTGAAGCATTATGAGGAGACTACATATTGTGCAAATGGCTTCCTCACAAATTGCAAAACCCCATGGAAAACAAATAAACACAAGTATGGGAATCACATATGCTAGCACTCTCCATAGTCATTAGAAGTCACTAGACACAAATATACTTATCAACATAACAATTAACTAAGGACAGCACTTGGTTAATCCATGTGTGTAACACACAGTGAAGTTAGAGCTTGGTGTAGTAGGCCCAGTCCAGCAAAGCACTGAAGCATCAATGTTGTTGAGGTCAATGAGACTACTCCACACATTTAAAGTCAGGCATGAGCTTAAACGATTAGTTTCCTCAACCCTTGGGAAGACTATATAACCTCCTACTCATGCATTTATTTATTATTTTATTGAATTATTCACAAACCCTTATGCAGCACTCCAGTTTTAAAAAAAATCCTATCTAGCTATCTGGAAAATGCTGTGGTTCCCGAAATAAATCAGCAATGATTAGAAATGAATCTGTTATAACTTTCCAAAGACCGGATCATACTTTAGACAATCTGCTGCTCATATCATCTGTTATTGTTCATAATACAATGTAAATAATCTAGACGTACCCAGAGCTATATAGTTAAGAGACAACTGGAGAAAGCTAATATTTGTAATGGACCTGCATTAGAATAATACAAACATATCCAAATATGCAGAACTATACCACAGACTTATTTATGTAAATAGTCCTAGCAGTGTGTATTGTTTTATAGGACAAGGAACGTTACGCAAACATCTTTAGTGACGGCGTCAGAAAAGTATGTATCAAACTGTAGTAGCAACTGGGAGATTGTGGAGATACTGGCTATAATGGGTTATTGCCAGTGCTTCTCTAGCATTGTTTCTTTGTATTTTTTAGGAAATTGGAAGAAATTATAACATCATGGGTACTTATTGGGAAGACAAGATGATTTTTTTCTTTATAAAGACACTGAACATATGCTGAATTTATTGGCCAACTAGTAACTTTTTCAGGGCATTTTCACCAGTAAACTAACTCAAAAGCTTAAAAAAATATTTGTTTTATGGAAAAAATGTGTTTTCCTAATTAACATCACTGTTTCTGGGAAATCTGGCAAGCACCGAGATAAGAGAGAATGTGAATTTTAGACTGTGGCTTTCCTACAAAATATATCTTATTGACAGATGCTTTTACTGTATAGTAAATGCAAACAGGCTAATCAGTTATGAAAACCTATTTGATTTTACCTTTAAATGTGTCCATCTATTCCATCCCCTAACCACTTTGTAGGTGTCCCATTTATTCATGGTTATTTTCCACTTTCTTGCATATCCTTTACTGTATAATAAAACTGCATTTAGTTCTGGCTGATCTAATGGTGCCTCATCTCCATTCCTAAGTGGGGTGCACTCAGGGTCTTGTCTCTTTAATGTGTGATCACTAACCGGGTTATGAACAGTTCAGGTGTTGCTGTAAGCATACACAGAATCAGTCTGCAGCAGGATTCTAGAGCACAAGGTGGAGGAGATCTTAATAGAGACACTTTCCCTCCAAGTCAAAATTGCATTGGCCACTTCCCCTTCATTTGCAATTGTACAACGTACCTGTGGAAGGTACATCAATTGCTTATGTGGACAAGTAGCATGGAGAAAGTACTTCCTGGATTTTTTTTAGCTCTCTTTTAAGTGCAGTTCAGGGCCTGGAAAAGAGGGGAGCATCGCCATGTAACCAGCTCTCTCTGAACCATTTGCAAGTGTTTTATGGGCTGCAACTGATCCCTAGATGGCAGGTGAAGAAGCCTTTTCTTCTCATGGAGGGCAGCATGGCAGCATGCTCACTAGCATATTTGTACCATGTCATATTATGCTAACTCACAGGGGACATTAGAGAAGAAGGCAACTTTTTAAAAATGATAGAAGCAGATTCTGAAAGTAATCACAGCAGCTAATGTATCTCCTTTACAGATTGCAAATGATACAGCAATGGCCTTGTGCTACTGCACATTTTCTTAAGTAGTGCAGGGAAACGTCTTCACAGCTCTGTACCTAAGCACTGAGTATCCTAAGGCTATGTCTACACTGCCCCGCAGTTCAGACTACGGGGTTGTGCACCAAAGTGCTGTAATTCCCTTGTGTAGATGCTGCCGGTGCGAACGGAAAGGTTCCTAGTTTATACAAGGTAGTCCTGTCTGAAGGAGGATTACATTAACGGGAACTATGAACTTTTTAGTTCATGCCCACGATGACCACACTGGGCAGTTACAGTGCAGCACTTTGGTGTGCACTGCTGTTCACACCCCTATAGTCCGAACTGCAAGGCAATGTAGACAAGCCCTTAGATGTATCTCCAGTCTTTCTGGCTAATGCTACTGTGGTGTGCTGCCACCCAATGTGTTATGTCAGAGATCAATTATGAAACCCTTTTATATTAGAAATATGATACAAGTAACACATACACACACAATCTGAGCCATTTTCTTTCCTCAAACTTTACAGTAGTTTCTTGCTCATTTTTCCTGATCTTTGTTCAATGAATTTGTGACAAATGTTTACAGTATTGGTAAGAATTGACTAACAGTGCCTAGAGAACATGACTTGTGAGGCATAAATGCCCATGAAATAAGAAAACCAAGGGGAGAAGGCAAAGCCAGGACTTGTGTATGCAGCAAGTGTGCTATGTTGGTATAGAGGGCCAGATTCTGATACCCTTACTTGCACTGAATAGCACCTTCTTCCACGGTAGTCCCAATTTCTAAAGCTTGCCACTTTTTCTTACACAATATCTCTAAAATCCTGCTTTTCTTTTCTGCCCATGCAGCCAAAGCCCTCATTATTACCACAACTTCCTCTTTTCTGGGCTTGACTGGCACACCTCAAGTCTATTTAGTATGGGTTTTCAATAAGTCACTTCTGTACTTCTGAAAATTTTACCCCTTGTTAAGGTCTTCAGATTACTAGGGCAGCTACGTAGGATGGGGCTATTAGAATCCTAATAATGTTGACTCTTGCCTTTGCTCTACCAGCGTTCCCAGCCTGCACCATCCACCAGTCAGCTTTTCTCTCAAACATCTCCATGGCTTCTCCCATGCTGCCCCATATGCATGGGGCAAATTCCCTGATAAAGTTAAAACAGCCAGTATCTTCCTTTAAATCCATCCTTAAAACTCACCTCTGCCCTGCTGCTTACAAACCTAGTCTGCTCATCATGGCTGCACAGATGACAAGGTGCAACTGTGCCTTTTTTCCACCTCCCCACCTCTACAGCCAATTAAAGAAACCCAACCCTCAATCCATTTGACTATTAAGCTGGATCAATTGTTCAAAAGATTAATTTGCTTGAATGTTGCATTCTCATCTCTATCCTCCACCTGTTGATGTGTCTAGATTGTAAGCCCTTCAGGGGCTCAGGAATGATCTCTCTTCAGTGTTTGTACAGCACTCCGCACAATGGGGCCCGCAATCCTGATGAGAGCTTTTGGGTATTACTTTAGTATAAATATTTAACAGTAATAAAATACTTTCATGGGACTGCTTATGCAGTAAGGCGCTGTTTAGCCTGAGAAGGGTATCTGAGTCTGGCCCAGAATAAGAGGTGATTTGGCTTCTTACCCATCAGGCCCAGCTGATTGATATATTTTCCTCACAGCCTAATGGCTAATATTCCAAAATCTAATCCACCTGCTCTTTGTCTGTGAGGCAGCGGGTGAATATTTAGGTTCCTTCTGGAACTATTGGGCCAAATGAAACCCTGGTGTAACTCCACAGAAGGGATAAAATAGCCTGTTATCTTCTGGGGGAATGTAAGTGTTTTTTGCTCATTTTTCTTTTAGAATGCTAAATGGTATTTAAAAGTCCTGAAATCAATGGCAAGGCTCTGCTTAGAGGTAAACTGTGTGAACTAAGAGGGCTGACAGCTTCCTTCTGGATTTTAATGGGATGTCTGAAAGAATCAAACTTTTAAAATCCAAGGTCATATTTAAGGGCACCTTTGCTGTAATGGGAAAAAAAATATATGCAGCTAAACAGTTTGACAGTGAGAAACAGTCCATTTCCTTACAGTGGCCTTCCCAAGAGTTCAATCTCAATGGTGCTTACACATCTCAGCACATGTAAAGCTGAGCTGCCTCGGAAAAGGGAATTCTGGGAATGATCTATGGCAGGAGTTTTTCCTGATGGATTGAGAGCTTTTTTTTTTTCTAATTCTTTGCATTTTTTTTAACCTCTGACTACTTATTCTAATATGCCACTATAGAGACTGCAATGGGGCTTTCGACCTGCACATCAATTCCTAGTGTGTCTATTCCCTAGTGCCAAAGAGGAATAGCACTAAGATTGGTGGGCTTGCAGTGAATGGTAGTTGTAAAGCAAATAGAAAAAAATCTTTCTAAAAGCTGCAGTAAGAATTCTCAAGAAATATGGCCTCACAAAAATGGAGCGTGCCCCAACAACCCCTATTGAAAAAATTGTTTTATGTCTGGCATCACTTAGTCTTCACTGGCACCATGAAATCTACAAACATTCCCTAGTTTGTATCACCTGCTTCAGAGGCCCTGGCTCCTCTAGGAA